ACTATGGATTCAATACATTATATGCTTCATACAACTGTACCTATAATACCAATAAAAATATAAATTTGAAAAACACCTAGGATATTCTCTTCTAAAAGCCAAGGGACATTCATTTTTTTGAAATCCTAAACATAAAATTGGAGAAATGGTCTGTCAAACTATTTAGAAAATACTATACAGGTACAGTCATGTAAGCATGAAATTCAGACAACATATATATACACACTAAACCTAAAAAGAAATATCAAGAAATACATTTCCTTTTTAAAAACCTGAGATTTGATGAAGCTGGCAGTGCAAATAAACAGTAAGATGTAATCACTTCTTTACTGAGGTAAACTGATCATTATATGTGTGATGTGAAACTTATTTCTCTATCAAACTTTCAAAAGTACAAACTCCATAGATTCAGAAAAAATATAACATTTGAACCTGAAACATCAAAGAAAGTATACAAAAATGACTTGCTCATCTACAAATCAGGAAATCCTTGGACATAAAATTGTAAAGCTACATATCTTAATGTGACTTGGAAAAGATAAACTAGCTAATAGTAAGGATTTCTGTCTAGCAAAGAGAATACACAAAGAAATACAAATGCAGCTTCAAAAATCACAAGAAGGATTGCTGACCCTCTGCAAGTTGTAATGAAATACTTATAGAAACAACAACAAAAGAAAGCTCATTAAAAATACCAGAGCATGACACAGGAAGACAATTTACAGAAGGTTTTATATAGAAAATGGGAGGAAAAAAGGCCTAAAATTGGAAGCACAAAACACACACAAATAAATGAAAAGACACAAATAAATTTCAATATGAATCCATGAAACCTGTCAAAATACAAAAGATCCATTATTGTTGCTTACAGGATCAGAAACTATTGTCCACTGACCATGGCTGTAACGTGCACAGTGTATTATAAGATTTTAGCTAACACATGCTCTGTGCACTATCAGGTTCTGACCTAGATATCCATTCTCCCAAATAAGTGTACAGCAAAGGCTTAAATACAATGAGACAAATAGTATGATTTTTGGTGTTCTAGGAAGGTCAAACCCATTAGTTGAGCTCAAGACTCTGAGGGTTAAGACAAAGACTACTCTGAAGTGACTATTTTTATTAGGTCTAACAACAAAGGATGGGGAAACTAGGAAAGGGAAATCAGTGAGCAGGATCATCAAAATCACTTCAAGGACATGTCCAAGTAATGAATCAAGTCAATTCAGTAGAACTGTCTTATCATGAAGACATGGTAGGAGTGAGATAGTAGGAGTAATTTCTGCAGCTACAGTCTCTATCTACTTAATTGATGTTTGAGCCAAGCATCTGCAGCTGTGGCCTTACCTTTGTGGTATCTCGGCCTCACAGGCCACTACAGGCCCCAGCCAGGATCAGTGATTCATAGAGGTTCACTTACCATGAAATCACCTCCCATTGCCAGGCGAGGGGCCTAGGCCTAGTACCGACTCACAGATAAACATACAAAGAAAATAATTAATTTTAAATCCTGCTCAGAGCTGATTTGGAGTGGTCTCCAACAGCGCACCAGCAAAGAGACTTGTGAGCATCCATGGGATGTCTCCAATCTGCTTCTGGGACACTAAGACAATATTCTCAGTGCATTTGTATCATTGACAGAAGTAGAGAAGCCTGCTCTAACTGTGGAAAGGGAAATTAAATGTTATGCATACAAACAATGGAGACACTTACAGGAATTACATTTACCTAAACCAGTGCAAATAAAACTGGAAAATACTACTGGATGAATTAATTATAATATGAACTCTGTATTGTAGTAATTGGGCAATAAAAATACATGTGTGGGAGGCTGGGGCACAGCTCTGCACTAGATCACACACACAGTGTTCATCAGTATTGAGGTTGTACAGTCAGCATAACTAATGTACATGAAGCCATCAAATATCATCTAGCAGTGAAGAGCAGGGACACAATGTGGAACCAATACAAATGGACAACAGGTTTGTCAAACACAGCACTAGCCCTATTTGGAGCTTAAGGTTTCTTTCTAACATGGGCCATTCTGTTTATCATATGACATTGTTATGTTCCTTGACCTTCTTCCCTAAATCGCTACTAAATCCTTTATGTTCTATGTCACAATTACAAGAAAAAAAGCTGAAACACATTTACGTGTTTTCTGATGAGCACAATCACCATAACCTGAAACCTCTGAGTCTGTAGACACCATGGACACACACACTCCTGAACAACAAGGTACAAAATGAACAAAGATCTCAAGGCTGCCAGCTCTCCAACTCTACACCCCAAAACCAATCTCAGTGACTTTCTATAAAGTACCCTGCATAGAAAGGCAGATGTTTACACAGGTTAAAACAGTTAGAAAAGTTTCCAAAATGTCATAATTAGAACTAGGAATGAAAGCATTTTCTCTTAAGCTTTGCTCATGCTTGACAGGTGGTGCTTCAAATGCTCAGGCCTGTGAATGATCAATGAAAATATCTGTCCTATCTTCTTGTTATGGAGATGCAGGCCAGACAGCATGATCAGATTGGGGTACCTCTTAATAATAATAAGCAGGAGGAGGAAGAGGCAGAGGAAAAGGAAAAGCAAAGTGAAAAAGGAGAGGAAGAAGAAAGAGGAGAAAGAGCAGGAAGAAGAAGAGAAGAATCAAAGCAAAGAAGAAAGAAAAATCAAGCTCCAGATTAGTGTTCACTTTTCCAAATATTTCATTGAATTGCTCTAGGGAACCTAGTAAATACAGCTCTCAAAAAAGAAAACAATCTGATGAGTCGCATGTTTTACAGTGTACTTTTTAAAGAGTTAAATTAGATACACCACTTGAGGAAACTATTATGGATAAGGAAAGGAAACTATTATGACCAACCCAAAGGAAGTGGAAGAGAAAATGTTTTGCAAATACATAGATGATGCCTGATCAAGAAACTGTAACTAGAAGCCTTGGATCCTTTAAACAGTTTAACACCCCTGTTTGATCTGTATTTGGGGACATATATGTAACAATACAAAATCATAATAAAAACACAAAATGTCTCATTCAGTTTATTGAATACAAGGGCACTGCCATTCACCAGTGGTGCCCTATTGCTAACAGAGGATGAGTCATGAAAGTTGTACACCAACATGAGCAAGTATTGAGCCATATCTCTCTAGTGTGCAAAAAGAATAAAGTAAAAAGCTCAAAATAAGGTTTCCATTGAATACTTTTCCTTTTATTCTTCAATACTGGAGATTTATCAGAAGACTTAGGTCATGTTACATGAGCTACTGTTCAGCAAAGACAACTCACAGAATTTATATTTCATATTGAAAGATAATCTTGCTCAAGTGTGCAGTCTTGGTGCTGTTAACACTTCCTCTCATTCTCCCAAATGCCTGAGAGGAAAGAGGTGAATAATAATTACCCCCCCAGATTTTACTTTAGCCAACCACTGAAATATTGGTAGGTCATGATTAATAAAGAACCCTGATCTTGAATGGGAATAATGGCAATGTACATTATCTGGCAGTCAATGAGATACAAAAACTAAAGATCACTCAATCCTGGACAGCTTAGTAAAACGTGACTTGAAAATAACAAAAAAATCAATAAATAAAATAAAAATTTTAAAATTAAAAATGTGAGCGTACATAGTTTACAGCAGGTTTCCATACTTCACTTTCTGTACAATAAACACATCAAGTACACCTTGAAATTTTCGAATCCTGGGGAAACTCTTTTCTACTTCAATGATGGTGTTCACAAAATTTTTTACCTACAGCAAATTCAGACAGTTTCCTAATTTCTGATTTTGTTGTAAAAATGATTATATGAAATAATCAGTCATCATAGAAGACATATTTAATTATCACTAAGTTCTCTGTCTCCAAGCCTGCGACTTTGGGCCAACTCAAAGATGAAGCAAACACAATTTTTCGGTCATGCTTACTCTAAGAACAATCTGACCTAGAGAGATCTTCCATAAGTCCTACAACTGGCACCCTTCAACATTCCAATGACTTCCAAGTCCTTTCCACTCTCCTTTGATACACCCTAAGCAGAGACCCCCTCATGCCTAACTATTACTTTCCCTATCTGGGGCTTCTCCTTTACACAACTACTAATTTGATAGTCTTCAGAGACAATTTCTGCATTTAAACAATGTCTATGATCAGACAAAGCTATCAATTCAGAGATGACACCGCTGTTCCCTTTCATTCAGAAAGATATCACGTGTATATGACCATAAAAATGCCCCAATATAGGCATTTTTCAATGCAGGTTAATTAGATAGCCTATTCTGGAATTTGTTCCTTAGCAAACATACTTTACCCTGCCCTTGCTAACACTTTCACATCTGCATTTTCTCAGAATTTGAAACTCCATGGCTGTTCTCAGATAAATGGTCTGTGTCTCCTAAATAATTAAGTATGATTAGGAACTTTTTTTGCACTGGTCTGTATGATAAACAGGAGTTCACAAGGTGTTTGGGAAGTCTTCTTCCATTGAGGCACATCACTACACATCTCTGAATTTTCGGAAAGTGTGACAACACCTGTCATGAGGAATGAAATAGTAGAACAAACTACATGTAGGCGATCACTATAAATATAAAAAAGCAAAAGTTTAAGGAGAGCAGTTGTGGCTATGGGAGTCTGCATCACAGACATTTATAAATTTCAGACCCTCCAGATCTGCTGCTGACAGGAATGAGAGCAGAGACCTAGCTCATTACTGCTGCACCAGCTACAAAACACATCAGAGTCAGGCAGACACTTTGAAAGATGATATTCGAGTCTGCTGCTGTCACAGTGAAGACACGGTTCTGGAGGCCCAGAATCATACGTGCCCCCAGCAAGAGGCAAAAGGGACAGAGCATGACTCACTGTCAGTGCTGGAGGACCTCAGGGGCTGAGGCTAAGCACCAAGGCTCTAGACATCAAAACTGCTTCTGACCACTTCTAACTAGTCTCGCTCGATCCCACCCCATTTCAGGCCTCCCAGCCCACAACTTCACCATTCTGTGACTCCAGGGTCTCCCAGATTCTTTCCTAAGCAGGTCACAGGAAATCGAAGCAATAAAACGCGGTTCAACAAATATTCTGCTCTCACTGTTGGGTAAAGCACACGCAGCTACCGCCATGACACCGGAAGGCACCGCCTATCTCGGCTCACCTGATTGGACAGTTCACGTTGCCCGCCACTTCAGCACTGATTGGCTCCTGCTCCACTACCTTCCCTCTGACCAAACATAAACACAGATAGAAATTTCTCCTCTAAGAGTGGATCCCTAAGGAAGGATCATAGTACAAAGACTTCTGGAGTTGGCTGTCTCTACACTGTTAACCTCACTTCTTCTGAAAGATATTTCCACAGAAGGGCTGTATCCCCGCGTTTTCACGGCTGCTTCTTTTTTCTTTCAGGACTCAATGTAATGGACTGCAAATGTTTTTAGAAGGCTTCAGGTTCAATCCTCTAGAGGAAGAATCAAACGCCTCTTGTCAGAAAAACAACCTGAGCCCTGGCCAAGCTAGGACTCAACGGAATAGAGAGATGGCAGGCTGTGTGAGAGTTCAGTGTTATGGAGTGAGGCAGAAGGCTTCCTTAAAAGATATCCAGATTTATCTCTGTGTGTCTGTTCAATTTCAGTCCAAACTGACTATGCCCAGAAGAGGAGCAGAATTTCTCTTCAAATGAAAGAATTAACATTAAATGATAACAACAATCTACAATAGATGAAAGATGAAAGTAAAGCAAACATATCAACTCTGGCAGACAAGCTTCCTACTTTTCAAGGGTCAAAAAACCTGAATTCTGAAAGTAAGCATATTGCCAAGCGTGAAGGTCACAATAATTTCTGAAACTGGGCCAAATTCCTCACCCACTCTCCCCTTTCTTTGTGATGAGGCAGGGGCACCTAAAGACTTCAGAGTCTATGCTGCACATGCCCTATAAATCCCTCCTCACAGATTGAATTTCTGCCCCTTCAGGACTTTAATATTCCTGCAAGGCATATATTGCTTGGAGCAATGTGATACAGTTGTTAACAACTCATTTGGCTTCAGAGATGTGCAGAATATTCTTAAATTACAATAACAGGTGTATCTTGTGAAGTCATGAGAGCTTGATCTGATGGACCAAATCTGGTTCCTGGATCCTATGTGTCAGGCTTCTATACTATGCTACCTGGAGACCAACATGCAGCTATGAGAAACTTGAACATTATTATATATCTTTAGCTCAAGGTACTTCATCAGGAAGAGCAAGGCCAATCTGCTTGCTCCTTTAAGGTATCTTATGATGATTCAGGAGTCTAACGTGCAGACAAGGCCCTGCAAGTTGAAGGTTTGCTCTCTGTTCACTACAGGGCATTTTATTCAGGCATGTAATTTTGGTACTTATATGAGCACGGCCCTTGTATTTGTAACCACTTCATAAACATGTGGGAATGATGTAGGGGAATTGCTAGATGTCAGATGTGCCGTGTTGACTGTTTCTATAGTTGAAGAATCAATTTCAAGGAGCAATGGCAGTTAAGAGAAGGATATTTAGTGCAGAATAAAAATATGAATAGGAATATGGAATGAGAATGGGGAATAGTAGTAGCTCTTGGAGACAGGTGGGGTCTTGAATGGGTTGCAACCAAACACATGTCTCAAAGGAACTTTGTAGAACAAAATCGTGAGTCACATACAATGTGGGTCAAAGTTTCCATTAACAAGACTGAGAGGATAGTCACTTAGGTAATATTGATTCAATGGTAATACAGATATATTTATAACATCATTAACCATTGTTAATAATCAATAGTCTTAGTCTTGCCTTTAGTCTTAATCTTAGAAGACTTAGTGGTTTTAGATTTAGATTTAGTTCTCTTAGTCATAGTCTTAATGTATGGGGGAGACAGAGACCTATCCTGTGTGAGAGTGTTAGGACCTATCCTAACGAGATAATTGGAAATCACAAAGGCTTATGTTTATTCCTTAGGGAAGACAGTAGTAAACTACCTATTATGAGTTTAACTTTAGGTGCTCTTTTAGCCACAGTTTCAATTTCTCATTTTGTCCACTGATTCTCTAGTTGGCCCAAACTGGTCTGAATTCCTAGTATATTTCTGCCTAACTTAGTTCTGTATAATAGAAGAGCCACAGAGGTGAAAATGTCCCACACACTCTCATAGACCATTGTAATTTTTTACAGAGGACGAAGCCAATGAATATAGAAATACACTTAAAGTGGAGTGGCAAGGATAGGTGTAATATCAATTATGGAATAGTCACTAGTGAAGTGCATTTAATACTACCCAGGGGTAAGCTCTAAATGAAGATCCACAACCATCTGGAAGCCCATGTCCACTTTTATAAATACAGTGCACTTGAAAATAGATGCACATAGGCTGGGGATTTAGCTCAGTGGCATAAGCACCTGCCTAGCAAGTTCAATCCCTGGTACCGCAAAAAAAAAGAAAAGAAAAGAAAGAAAGAAGGAAAGAAAGAAAAAGAAAATAGATTCACCACGCTGAGGTTAAAACTTTCCATCAGTATCAAGGTTTTCCATCATTGCTGAGGTTTTCTCACACTCGTTCAGTCATCTAGGCTGTTATACATTTTTTTAGGTTGGGTTCAATTCAGTCCCCTCGTGTATAACCATATCCTCAGGCATATTTATTTGAGAAATGTTTTGGTATGTTGCTATATAACCCACCAATGCTTCAAACTTGTAAAATTTTTTTTTGGTACTGGGGATGGAACACATGATCTTTTACTTGCCAGGCAGGTGATTATGCTTCTGAGCTAACTTCCCAGCCCAAATTTGTAAATGTGCAATTGGTTTGTGTAAGCTCCCCTGAGTGCTAGATTATACGAGTGGACAACCATATCCTGCTATGACATATATCACTAAAAAGCATAGGAAAACATAAAAACAAAATACTGTATCTATTAACATGCCTATTCCATTTCTTCAGCAAGAGTACTCTATGCAACAATAAAAAGTGAGAAGAAAGTCTCCAACTGCACTTATGCTCACAGGAAAATCCACATTCAGACAGTTGAACATCATTTCCTTGTAGAGGGTGAGACTGACTGCTGAAAGGGTGTGCCACAGGGAATCCTTGTGATGAGGCAACAAGAAGTAAAATTTTTCACTCTGGGAGCTCATCGTGGCCTGCTTCTCCCTTTTCTCAATGGGAAAATGCAACTGCCTTCACCCTAAGATTTACTAGAGGAAGACCCTTACCTCGAGTCCCTGTAAGGTTCTCATTAAAGTGTCAAATTCATCACCTCTTTCCAGAAACTATGTAAAACCATCACTCTTTTAGACTGATAACAAATACTTAATGGATACAAATTAGAGTTTCACACCTGTAAATTTAAGTATGCCCAAATCAAAATGATCTCCATCATTTGGCATTCTTCTCATTGGAATTTTCTTCTTTGGATTTTCCTTAGAAATATACAAAGGATGATGAAATCCTTATACACTTGTACATTTAGGAAGCTGATATGGATGATTAAATATATTATAGTCTGCTTACTTTTATTTTTATAAGAAAATATTAAAAAAGAAAAGATCACTAATTGGAAAATGAAAGATATTTTACATATGGAAACAGGATAAAGAAATGACGGAAGAGGGAGAAAGGAGATGAGGTGAAATAAACACTTACTGTAGGCTTTTTACATGCACAACATTCTGACAACCAATATAAAGATACACTAGATATATTAATACAAATTTTATTCAGATGTTCTTGTTTTTTGATTGTTCATATTGTCACTAGCATGACTTGATGAAGATATAATATAAAATGTGAATGCCTGTGTGTCCTTCTACAGAAAACAATAATAAATATTATTTGAGCCATGGATCTGAGTGCAAAATAACTGCCATAAAAATGTGTTGTCATGCAAGAGGCTTGCCATTGGGGAACCAAAAAAATATAAAGTGCAAAGAGAAGCTTCTGTAGTTGAACTGTCTTAAGCAGGATTGAAGCCATGATCATCCAAGAACATCTTCAGTCTTTGAGCACAGATGTTTATTAGGTTTTTTAACATGGGAGTTCAAACTCTTCCCTCTTGGACTTGCTTTATTTGTTCTTTTTGGTCTTAATCTAGCTTCATTTCAGCATTTTGTAGACTCACATTTTAAACCCTTACACACCAATTACAGAGGTATTCACCCTCTGGTTATACAAGGAAACTTTAAAAGACTTTTCTCAGGAGAGTACAAAAAGAAATTATTATATACGTGTGTACACATATACACACATGTTGCAGTACCCTCAGTAACAGCATGGAAAGCAGGAGAGAATGTAAGGAGGTTGGTGGGAAGTGCATCACCAACTCAATAAATCTGAAGTGCTTACACATGTTCCTTGAGGTACAACGTGGCAATGTTTCAGCAACCAAAATAATTGAAATACAGTGTACTTAATGTGCCTTTACTATCCCCAATCTAATGAACAGGGATGCCCGCTCCACATTCACATATGGACTATGGTTATGTCAGCCCTATTACAAAAACATCTAATGCTGATCCCATTCATAGTAGGCCATCACATAACTTACTAAATGGAGTGCAATGAAGAGCATTTATCATCATTTGTATCTGGTGGCTGACAACAGCGCTCACTGCTGCTGCCCCAAGAAAAATGAATATTGACACAGTAAATAGGAATTTGCTTGGGTCACTGAAACACATGTTAGAACTTTATGGAAGATAATGACAAACAAACGTATTACACAGAATGGAATTACTCCTCATAGTGTCATATTTTGCACTTTGACTTCACTAATGGTTGAACTACTACCATTCCCACAAATGATGTTGAACGGTTCCTTTTCCCCTGCAGCCTCATGAGTACTGCTTTGAGTTCGTGGTGATGTGTTTTGTCTGGAAGGAGATGAGGTTCTAATTTTCATTTCTGCACTGGACAAAAATGCACAACAATTTTTTAGGCATTTACTGGCAATTTGTGTTAATTCTGAGAATTGTGTGTACCTTTCATTGTCTTGCTTGTTTGATTTTTAATATATTAGGTCTTGAGGAGTTTCCAGCAAATTAATATAAACTGTTTGGTCTGTTGCAGCATTCCATCTAATTTTCTTTTTCTTTCTCTCTCTCTCTCTCTCTCTCTCTCTCTCTCTCTCTCT